TGCTGTGGATTTACCTAACAGGATAGATTTTTGTCAATGGTATATGAACATTTCAAGGGAAAACAGAAATATTTTATCCAGTATTTTGTTTGGTGATTAAGCGTCATTTTCACTCATGGTCTGACAAAAATCCTCACCAAGTTTGTACATCCAAATTTCAACATAATTTTAGTTTAAATGTATTGGCAGGAATCGTAGAAGATTATCTTATTGGTCTGTTTATTCTTTCTCTGCATCTCGGCGGAGTCGAATATTTGAGATTTTTAAATGAGCAACTCCCAATATTGCTTGAAGACGTGCCACTAGCTATGCGTGAACACATGTGGTACGCACGTTACGGAGCTCCTGCTCATAGCTGTTAGACAAAGTTTATTAGCTGTTGGACAATGGTTAAATTTAAATTTTACTGGGAGATCGATAGGTCGAGGGAACGATGCACCAGTCAAATGGCCTGCGCGATCACCGGATCTCACACCCATAGACTATTTTTTATGGGGTCACTTAAAAAATGTTGTTTATTCCAACCCTATTGATAGTGTGGAGACGCTACGGCAAAGAATTTTTGCAGCAGCTGAGGAAGTAAAGAATGCCATACATATTTTTTCAAGAGTTTGTCGTAATTTTATTCATAGAATTAGACTATGCTTACAGGAAAATCGAAATTACTTCGAAAATATCCTTTAAATTTTTTTTTTATTACCAGCCAATTATTTCTTTTAAATTATCTATTGTCTGTTAAGTGACTCTTGGTTTTAGTTGTTTTACTCTTTTTTCTAATAATTATTATTAAACTAACAATAAATAGGTAAGTATTTTACAATATTTTTTTAGCTGAACTGTTATTTCATATGAGATTTCTTTAATTCAAGGTTTAAATAATTTCACGTGCACAAGAAAATGTGTTTTTTAATAAAGACACCGAAAAAACAATTCACACACGCTAAAATAATACGCAAAAATAGTAAATTTAAAACAGAAAAAATAATGTTGTCTCAGTTGATGCCTGCTCCCCCCCTTTGGTCGAATTTTAAAATACAGATCCACAACTAATAATTACTGTGAGGCAATGCGTTTTGAATTTATTAACAAAAGTGTCTGTTTATACCTTGGTATTCGTGGAGGTATAAATCCGTAACACTAATTTATGAATTTAAAAATATCTCCTAAACGGTTGGCTTTAGTCATTTTCAATAAGTATACCGTTTTTGTTCAAAATAGTCCAATATTTCATATTTTGCTACTAAAAGCTGTATACGGGAGTTGACAAAAAAGTTACTATATATTCAATGCATAACGTTGCCTGCAGAGGGCGCCTCGTACTCGACACGCAAAAATCATTATTATATTATTTTTCCCATGATTAAAAAACCTGTCGGTTGAAAATTTGAAACATTTTTGACTAAAATTATAGAAATTATTAAGGAAAAACCATTTTTTATTTTTCACTTTCACACCCTGTATCTTTTTTATTATGCGACTTGGGATATAGGTATGTTAGGTTAAATCGATTTATTTTCACCAAAGAGATCTCTGGTATGATTTGTGCCCCTCCATTTAAATACACTCTGTATACAGGATGGTCCCCTTTTTTTGATCAAACTTTAAGAAGCAATACATTATCAAAAAATAATGTTAGTTTGCTAAATAAACTATACCCGACAAATGTTTACTTTTTGAGATACAGCGCGTTAAAGTTTCCCGAAAAAAATATATATTTCGAATTTTTCTGTAGGTGATGAGGTTTCACCCGTAAGATTTTTATAAATGATTTGGCACTGTACGCGTGATCTTTGGAGATTTTTTCAATTTTTTTTACTTTACCAGTGACGGAGAAAATAGGGGTCTCCATTGCTTTAGTAAAAAAATATTAGTACGCCACTGGCTTTAAATTTAAAAAACAAAATATTTTGGATTCTCCGTTTAATTTGGGACAAAAAATTATCATCCTTGTAAGTTTTTCGTAACTATTATCATTTTCAAGTAAAATTTATTTATTATTACTATTACAATAGACCTACAAATTGCAGATGAATTAACGACAATAAAATAATTACTGTATCAATTCAATAATCAATATTTAATAAAACTATTGAAAATAATTACAGCTGCATAAGTTGTTCGAAATGCCCGCCTGCTGCATTAATACACATTTCACATCTTCGTATTAAAGAATTTATCCCCGCGATGATTTCATGTGGCCTNTTTAACAATATCAAACATAATCAAAATAGGCTTTGTAAAATTATCAATATTAATCTTAGAAATAAATAACCATTTATTAAACAAGAAGTTATAAGAAAAAATGTCAATTTATTAATGTATGCAACCAGTCATACATGAAATTTAAGTATAGCAGTCGCATCGATATAACATCTTGTTTAACGTTTTGGAAATAGTGTAAAATACTTCAAAATATTTACTATTGTGTTCAACATTTCTTATTGACAATTTTTGACATATATAACAAAACAATAATAAATTCGTTTAGTAATAACCTTTTGTGCTTATAGTTGTGACTGTGTGTGGTTTCTTGCTGAATCACATCGTGAATAGAACCGACTACTGAGAGGAGTCTAGATCTAGGTAGGGCAAAGGTAGACAACCACCAGTACACCAAAAAAAAACCAAATTTATATTACAATAAAAAATTTTGTTGGCGCTTACACTAACACGCATCCACACATAATACCATAACATTAGGTATGTATTTTTATTTCTCTGCACGGAATCGTTAATCAATTCTGGATATAAATTCTGAAATATCTCAAGACGTACGGTTCTCCTTCAAATGGGCTCATCTCTATAATATTTCAGTTTTTATAGGCATTTAGTAATATTAGTCTTGGCAATCCGTTCCCGTAAATATTTGAAAACATAGCCGANTGTGACTGTGTGTGGTTTCTTGCTGAATCACATCGTGAATAGAACCGACTACTGAGAGGAGTCTAGAGCTAGGTAGGGCAAAGGTAGACAACCACCAATACACCAAAAAAAAAACAAATTTATATCACAACAAAAAATTTTGCTGGCGCTTACACAAACAC